GATCCGTTGCCGGACACGGAAAAAGACAAAAAAAAAAAAAAAAAAAAATTTGGAAATGAAGAATAAGACGTACATCACTTTATGTACCACAGGAATAAAAAATTATAAAGAATAGGGACTTCTCTTTCTACACATTTCAGACAAATTCATGTTAAAACACTAAGAAGGAAAAAAAGTAACAAAGGCTTCTGGTTAGTGAGTCTAGGAAAAAGAAGGAAGCCATGTTCAGCTGAGTGGCTTCTGGGTGTCTCTATTCCCTGCCTGCCTACCAGCCTGCAGAGGACCCATTCTGGTCTGCTCTGCCACCTCGTGGTAAGCTTACTGGGGTGGCTCTGCAGCGCTGGTGGTGGGTGGTCAAAGTGAATTCTAGGATGAACTACTTGGAAGCACACATGACTACACATCTAAATCACATCCTCCAATCCATCTTTTATCAGATGTAAAGAAGTTTTATTTTGTTGATGTTTTTTAGTGTTGGTTTGTTTTTTTGGCAGCTGGCCAGTACAGGGAAGGAAAGTTTATGTATTTATCTCCTACGTTACTCTTATGTTCTTTAGTTGGTTCCAAGTTCCTAAGGAAAAAAGGAACTTTATTGGTGCCCTAAAAAAACATGACGCAGCTATTTTAAAACAAGTGAGACAGCTTTATATGTAGCAATACGGAATAATTTCCAACACATTGTGAAATGAAAAAACAAGGTGAAAAAGAGTTCTGCATACTGCAACTGTGTCAAATACAGACATACACACACTATACAAGGATACGTCATCACTGGAAAGATACATATGAAACTAAATGATGATGTCCCTGGAGAAAGGAACTGGTTTGACAATTGACAGAGGTTGTGGAGACTTACTTTTCACCAGTTTTTGTACCATGTATATATATTATCTACTTAAATAACTTAAAAAAGAAAATGTAAAACAGTAAGAGAATGAAAAAGGGAAAAATAATTCTCTCAGTTTTATACAAGTATTATCAAAGTTTAACATTCATAAGTATGGTGCATGATATCAGAAGTTTTTTTAAATCTCTAAATTCTATACTACAGAACCTATAAGAATATGGTTTAGACTGGCCAGATAGCTCAGCTGGTAAAAGCACAGTGTAATAACAGCAAGGTCAAGGGTTTGGGTCCCCAAACCAGTCAGCCGCCAAAAAAAAAAAAAAAAAAAAAAAAAAAAAAAAAATTGTGTGTGTGTATATCATATATAGTTTAGTACAAAAAGCCTGTTAAAAATAGATATAATAATTTACACATCAAAATATCTGTCCAAAGCAATACTCAATGTCAGAACAATTTCTTTAATTTGTCTTAGCAATTTGGGACAACTTTTATTATGAGATATAATTAAGATGACATTAATTATCATAGCTAGACATACTCTATTAACATATAAGGAATCAGGAGATATTTGAGAAAACAGAACTAATGGTTCTGTATCTATAAATGCCTTGCAAAGGTACACAGTATTTCTGAGTAGATTTTCTGAATAAGGATTTAACAGTATGTGCTAGGATTCTAATTAAAGACAAACCTAATCAGAGGAAAAAAACACCACAGGGGATAAAAGGGCCATGAATTCAGAGAAGGGAGAAAGAAGAGTGGCATAAAAAGGCTTTCTGCCTAAAAACGACCCTAAGACAGAAAATGACATAATCTATAATTAATTTCAAAAACAATGCACAATTTATCAGAAAAAAAATAACTGGTATTTGAAAATTATAATTAATGTTGAAGACGAGTTTTTGAGTTTTGAATACAAGTAACAAATATTTACATCACATAACTTAATGAGTAATATAAGCCATATTTATTGATAAATACCTGTTCTATCTGTATTCCATAACCTTTAAAGCCTGCATTGTCCCATGAAGTATTCCGGTAGATGTCATCAACTCTGTCAATCAGTTCTATCTGTGTGTGCATAAGCCGTATTTATTGATAAATACCTGTTCTATCTGTATTCCATAACCTTTAAAGCCTGCGTTGTCCCATGAAGTATTCCGGTAGATGTCATCAACTCTGTCAATCAGTTCTATCTGTGTGTGTAAAAGAAAAAGACACTATGTAGACCTTTACCACTCTTTGAAATGTAATACAAAATCTACAGGGATAAAAATTGTTTAGAGAAAATGCCATTGCAAGTTTCTACTGATTACAAAAACTAGCATTAAAGATGTTACTCTTTATCACCGACATCTCTAACAAAGAAATTATTCTTAACCCCAAAAGTGTTGTTACCAGAATAAAACAATGATACAGTTTACCCCAAATTTCAGGTAAAATAATAGGCTTTTTAAAACTGCCATTCTAATCAACTATGAAAATGAAATTTAAAAGTCAATCAATTTACCTAAAAGATTCCCTTCTAAGAAGTATTCCATCATCACTCTATCTCTTGGCAAGTACTTCTAACGCCTTCCCCTGAAACAGGTAAAGGGCAGTGATAGACAACTGCTAATCTTACTATCTCACCCTCACCCTGCCAAGTTCAGCACTGAGAAATGGGCAAAAGGAGGGCCAGAAGGAGTGAAGTGTGTTTCACCATTCCTCCTGTTCTCTGACTTGGAAAGACTGTGTGAGGAGGGACTGTATAAATCCCCAAGGACAACTACTGGAGAAAGAACAAGATGCAAATTACTTACTTTTCCTCAAAGAGAATAGTCTAGTGTTCAAAAACTGGGTGGATGATGTTTGTTCCAGCAACTGTGAAACAAGTTATAGGTCTAAGAAACCTTTCTTTGTTTATAAGTAACTGTAAGAAATGCTATTTTTAAGACTAGACTTCTGATTATGTTCATATGTGGTGTAAAGAACTAAGAGGTAAAGTAAGAGAAGCCCCTTAATACAAAACTCAGAAGAGAAAAGCTCTTTCAAGAAAGAATCCCTCTTACAAACAAGAATTACAATGATTCCTACTATCCTCATAATAAATTCATTCACTTGATATGAAGGGAACAGAAAGAAGGGTGAGAGAGGGTATGAATAAAATGAAGTGAAAAAAGCAAGGCAATGAGAAAGATGCCTTTTCTGCACTAGGCTTTTTGTTCATGAATAGCTGCATTCTCTTTTATTCCCTCAATAACAATATTTTGGTCAGTGCCAAGTTATCATGATGATGAGGTCATACTAACAAAAAATGTCAATGAGAAATGATTCCCTTGACTTTAAAAATTAAAACAGTTAAGGCTTAAAAATCCAGTGTCAACGCTTCCCTCATCTCTCTGCCCTAGAGTTAGTTACAATCATGAAAGTTCCACCTGCTTCATGCAGTTATAGTCCATGATTGGTTCTTAAACATAACATGAATAAAACTGACCTTCTCTGAAATATACACATAAGCAAAAAAATACGCACAGATTCAAGCAAATACACATATATATTTTTTACTCTGGAGCATACATCACACATGACACCACAGGTTCACTGCCATAGTAGCAGCAATATCTTTAAAGTCTCACTTGTATAAAGACAGAAGGATCACGTTATGAACTCTCCCCAAACTAATATGCATAAAAATGCTAATGTAAAGACAATAATAGTTCAAAGGTACAATGCGTTTGCAAAAATTTTAAACTATTGGCTGGCCAGTCAGCTCAGTTGGTTAGGGTGCAGTGTTATATAACACCAAGGTCAAGGGCTCAGATCCCCATACCAGCCAGCCGCCAAAAACACAAATAAAAAACATCTAAAACTATAATTTCCATATAGTAATGTAAGAAGTTCAGAGAATAGCACTCAAATATTTTGGGGAAATAACAGAACATCTGGAACAGATCTAGTCTCGTTAAGTTTCAAATTGTCACAGCCTTCTCTTAAATGGAATTTACGCACCTACGTGGATTTTTTTAACCAATTACCTTATGCAATACCAAGTTCTTACCAGGTAATTTGTGGTCGTGCTCTCTTCCCCTCTGCCCATGTATTTGTAAAAGCGATGATCTGCTACCACCAATAATTTACACGTGTTCTTCATGGGATTAGGATCAGCTCTTCTCTTCACCCGATGAACAAGCTCTAATATGAATTTGTATGCACTATTAAATCAAAATTCACCAAAACAAGGAAGTTTTTTATAGTAACACTTTAAATCTAGTATAATTTTGAAAAACAAACATTATTTGGGCCTAGTATCCTTAAAGGTATCTTGAACAAAAAAACAATTTGGAGGAAAACAGAGAAGTGAAAAGTAATCGAGGTTTTAAAATTGTAGAATTCAAAACCAAAGAAAAAAGTACTTCTCCAATTTTTAAAACACAGAAACCTTAAGAAGTGCTTAACAGAGTAAAACAATCACCTATTGCTGGGCTATGAAGCCATCAGCCATTTTTTTCTAGAAGTAGTCTACGAATTAACCGAAGTAACAGGAAAAAGTCAAGATAATCATACATTAAAAATTAGTTTGTGTTAATAGGACATCTTTCTTATCAAATAATCAAATTGTTTTAGAATTTCTTTAAATACTAAATGCTAGTAATATTATCTAAGGTCTTCAAAAATGAGGACAGCAGAACATCTCTCCAAGATGGTTATATGTTTTTTAAATGACCCTGAACAGATCTATCCAAAGACCGATAACATTTTTGTATTCAAAACAGTATATAGATCTCCCTTGCTTTCAACTGATTTCTTATAAACTCTACTGTTTTTCAACAATTTTGTCATTTCTAAATACCTGTAAATAAAGAGTATTTTCCTTCAGATCATTCAATTTCCCCTCTCCCTAATCTTTTTTAAAGTCCAATCTTGGGCCGGCCCTGTGGCTCACTCAGGAGAGTGCGGTGCTGATAACACCAAGGCCAAGGGTTCAGCGGTGGCCATCCCTATATAGGATCCGAACCCGCAGCGGGAGCGCTGCTGCGTTCCCAGTGCCACACTCTCCCGAGTGTGCCATGGGCTCGGCCCTCCCTAATCTTTTTTAAAGTCCAATCTTGGGCCGGCCCTGTGGCTCACTCAGGAGAGTGCGGTGCTGATAACACCAAGGCCAAGGGTTCGGATCCCACAAAGGGATAGCCGGTTGGCTCACTGGGTGAGCATGGTGCTGACAACACCAAGTCAAGGGTTAAGATCCCCTTACCGGTCATCTTTTTAAAAAAAAAAAATAAAGTCCAATCTTTATTGTTCCCATTATTTTCTAGTGTTTTCAACTCTTACATTATAGACAAAGGAATTTTAATTTCTAGAACAAAACTCTATTTTTAAGACAAATACTATCACTTTATAATATGTCATTTTTTATCAATTAATAGTCACTTTTACTGAAGACAGCTGTAATATGCTTCCTATTTGAAATGTATTTTTTAAGCCTTACCTTCAGGTGGCTCTCTGTCTACTAGCCCTTTTGGAAGCAATTCTTCATTATCCACTTTTAAATAACCACACACTTTTGGAGACTGCAAACGTGAAACATTCTTGATATCTTCGGATTTATAAACTAACATTCTTCTGTCTTTAGTATCATTAATAAATCTCCAAAGTGGCTAAAACAGCAATGAACAAAATAAAAATTCCTAAACACTAAATTCTTCCAACATCCTTGCTTGTTCTTAGATAACATTCATTTCTAGGTTAAGTAAACTGACTAGTCATTTTAACCAAAATAAATCATTTCAACTTTTTTTTTTTCCCCTTTTAGTCTTTTTTACTGACCGGCAACGGGACCGCAACCCTCGGTGTTGTGCCCGCACCACGCTCAGCCAGTGAGCGGGAACCGGTCTCCACATGGGATCCGAACCCTCAGCGGGAGCGCCGCCACACTCCCAAGCGACGCACTCTCCAGTGCGCCACCGGGCCAGCCCTCAACTTTTATCATATGAAGTTTCTGTGCTGATAAATAAATACCTGGATTATTCTCTCTGATTATTTTATCTCTATAAGAAAAGTATTACTAGTTTGCACAAGTTATGAAATTTTTTAGAGGATCCGGAAGAGAAAAATGCAATTCCTTTTCATTCATTCAAAAATATTTATGTAGGGGCCGGCCCGGTGGTGCACTGCTACAGTGCGCCGCTTGGGAGCACGGTGGCGCTCCCGCTGAGGGTTCGGATCCCACATACAGACCGGTTCCCGCTCACTGGCTGAGCAAGGTGCAGGTGCAACACCGAGGGTTGCGATCCCGTTGCTGGTCCCAGTCCGGTATGGGCGCGACACTGAGGGTTGCGATCTGTTGCCGGACATGAAAAAAAAAAAAAAGACAAAAAAAAAAAATTTATGTAATGCCTACTGTATACTGGCATTGTTATAGGTGATGATGATATAGCAATAAAAGTTAGACAAGGTTTCTGTTCATGTAGCATTTCCATTCTAGTTTCCTTAACATTCAGGTGTTTGGCATCTTTTTGCTATGCTAGATTTTATGCACAGCAAAGAGAAAATACATTTTTATGAAAGAAGACTGAAAACTTGCAGCAATATGCCTGAAACTTATTATCAGTTTCAGGGAAAGCAATTTTTTAAAAATCTGCATTTACAATGCTGCATGTCCAGAGTAAATCACAACTAACATACTCCAAAGCCTACCCAAGTCAAACGCATGCTTCTGCATTTTCAAAACAAAGTTCTTCTCTATAAGGACACGAGATTCATCAGAACCAGGCAGTTTATGGCCCATGTACCCCCCCCCCCCAAAAAAAATCTGTGTGTGTGTGTATGTGTGTATGGGTACTTAAAATTTTGCAGAAAAATGGAATTAAAAGATAATACAAATCTTTACAAGAACTGTTTCAAGTACCCTTGTATAT